TTAATGGTATATTTTAAACTACCAAATAAATTTCATGTTATCTTTTTATTAATTTTTAATTTAATTGCACTATAGTCAGAGATTGTGGCCAGTAGAATATTCTGAGTACTGCATTATTATTCTCGTTTCTTACTCTGGGCCCTTTTCCTTGAACTAAACATTTCCTTCTTAACCCTCTCTTCCTCTAGGAGGAAAGAGAGGTTTTCAGGAGTTTCCTCTCTTCCTCTTACACCTGGCCACTAGCCTAGCAGACCCACAACATTGCCTGAATCCCAGAGTGAGCGGACCACAGGCTCAAACTGCAACTCATGCCACGTAAGTCATTTTTACCTGCTACACAGTGCATTGCTTATAATGCCATGTCATTTATTGAAGGCTCACCATGTGCCAGGCATAGTACTAAGAATCTTATATACATTATCTTATTTAATCATCCTAACAAGACCATTATTAACCCCCATTTTGTGGACAGGAGATTGAAGCACTGAAAAATTAAGTAACTTTTCCCAAGTCATGCCGCTTCAAGTGGAGGCACCAAGAGAAGACCCCAGTGTCTGTTGGACCCCAGAGTCTATGCTATGTAAGCACTCAAATGAGGTTTGTTGAACAAAGAATTCCCCCTTTTGATAGTTCATGGCCACAATGAAGTTTATTGCCACTGGGTCATGCATTCCCATAACACTCTGCATTTTCACTTTACATAAAACATTCAACACTTGTTGAAAATACTTTGAAATGTGGAATTATATTCCTTTTGGACTATTTCAAGTCATCTATAAAACAACAGCATGAAGAATTACAAGACAGCTGCTACCTATCTTTTAATATTGGCTGTTTTGGTGTTATATGACATGTTTATCTGACAAATCAGTAGACACCTTCTAACCACATCCTTCTTCTAAGTGCTCCCTGTTAATGCTGTTTCAGCTCAAGAAATTGTGAATTTTCTAAATTGTTTAAGATAATTTACAATCTTTCCCCAAAGTTACTTTTTACTGTTTCTTCTTTTTATCACATAACTTTTCTTTTTTCTCATGATATATGTCATTTTACACAATTAATTACTTATATATTAAAAAATTTTTATAACATAATTATGTTCATATGTATAAAATAAAAAATAAGAAAAAACTGAACACATGTCATGGAGTACACTTCATTAATTATTTTTTTTTTTTCATTTTTTTTTTTTGCGGTACGCGGGCCTCTCACTGTTGTGGCCTCTCCCGTTGCGGAGCACAGGCTCCGGACGTGCAGGCTCAGCGGCCATGGTTCACGGGCCTAGCCGCTCAGCGGCATGTGGGATCTTCCCGGACCGGGGCACGAACCCATGTCCCCTGCATCGGCAGGCGGACTCTCAACCACTGCGCCACCAGGGAAGCCCTTCATTAATTATTTTTTAAAGTGTGTGGGGTTTTTCTTTTTTGGTGTTTTCTTCTCTAATTGAATGACAGTAAGCAATATTTGATTAAATTAAATATCTTTTAATTTTAATTATTTAAAAATAATTGTTTTACTGTTTCTACTGTAAAATGAAGGAAAAACATTATGTATAAATTAAAATAATAGAACTAGTAATGATTAATTGTCTACATTTTTATTGTGATAAAATATACATAATGTAAAATTTACCATTTTAGCCAATTTTAAGTGTAAAATCAGTAGCATTAATTGCATTCACAATGTTGTACAAACACTATTTTTTTCTAGAACTTTTTTTATCATTTCGTATTGAAACTCTTTACCCATTAAACAATAGCTACCCATTCTCCCCTCTCCCCAGCCCCTAATAACCTCTATTCTACTTTCTGTCTCTGAATTTGCCTATTCTAGGTGCCTATATAAGTGGAATCAGATAATATTTGGCCTTCTGTGTCTGGCTTATTTGATTTGGCCTGATGTGTTCAGGTTTATCCATGTTGTAGCACGGATCACAATTTCATTCCTTTTTAAGGCCGAATAATATTCCATTGGATACATACCACGTTTTGTTTTGTTGAATATTATTGTCCAGTGTTTTGTTGATCCATTCATCTACTGATGGATATTTGGGTTGTTTCCACCTTTGGCTAATGTGATTAATGCTTCCCTGAACATTAGCATACAAGTATCTGTTTTCAGTTCTCTTGGTTGTATACTTATGACTGGGATTGCTGGATCATACGGTGATTCTATGCTTAACTTTTTGAGGAATCACCAAACTGCTTCCACAGGGCTGAATCATTTTACATTCCTTCCAGCAATGCACAGCGTTTCAATTTCTCCCCATCCTTGCCAGTACTTGTTATTTTCTGTTTTGTTTTGTAGGTAATAGCTTTCCTAGTGGGTGTGAAGTGGTATCTCAGTGTGGTTTAATCATCTACATTTAAACTCGCATTTGAGAGGAAAGGGAATTGAAATTGAGAGAGATAAATAACTTACAGTTAGTAGGCAGTGAAGGAGCAACTACAGCTAAGGTCTCCCAACTCGAACCAAGGTTGTTTTCTTCTTCAAAATCTTGTCTTATTGTACCATTACAATATTTTTTATCTATTTGGCTCCTTACATATTTTATTTGACTTATATTTAGAAGTAAAATAGGAGACTTCCCTGGTGGCACAGTGGTTAAGAATCCACCTGCCAATGCAAGGGACTTGGGTTGGAGCCCTGGTCTGGGAAGATCCCACATGCCACGGAGCAACTAAGCCCGTGAGCCATAACTACTGAGCTTGTGCTCTGGAGCCCGTGAGCCACAACTACTGAGCCTGTGTGCCACAACTACTGAAGCCTGCACACCTAGAGCCCATGCTCTGCAACAAGAGAAGCCACCACAATGAGAAGCCCATGTACTGCACGGAAGAGTAGCCCCTGCTCGCTGCAGCTAGAGAAAGCCCGTGCACAGCAACAAAGACCCAAAGCAGCCAAAAATAAATTAATTAATTTTTAAAAATTTTATTGCTTAAAAAAAATGTAAAATAGGGTAGTGTCCACATAGTATTAGGTTTAACCATGTGAGATTGTTGTTTTTGTAGGCCAACACAATCAAGTATCAGAAATTTTGTATGGTTCAACTTAATATTGAAACATGCTCCTATTATCGAGGATGTGTTGGGGGGAAAAAGTAAAATTTCAGAATATAGCTAAAAATATACTGAAAGAAAAGTTGTTTGATACACTTTGGAGGGTGAAGGAACAGAAGACTTTCTGGATATACAGAATAGTTTATAGGTCCCTTAAATTTGGATTGCATTGTTACTTTATCCATGTATATTTAAAAATATGTTCAATGTATTCTTCTAATTCTAAAGGACTTTAATTGTATCTTAAGACATATAAGTGTCTTGTTGAATTTTAAAGACCTTTAAACTAATATAAGCCAGCGTTATTCTCATATTCTCAGAACCACCCAATTTTAATTCATATTTAAAATGATATATGGAAAAGAAAGGGTCATTGTGCAGCAGGTCTGCAACTAATTCCCTTTTGTTTCTAGGAGACACTTCTGGGAAAGAAAGAAGGGAGGTGATCTGGTTTAATTTTCTTATGATCATTCTACTAAATAGACCTCCTGGCAAAGAAGCCAGTGGTATTGCTGGCTGAAGAGTCCTTACCTATGGCATGCTTTTAGCAGAATATATCTAGTTGTCTACGATTGCTTATGGTAACCACACCTGGAATCTATGAATTTAGGAAATGGCTTCCTGGAAAATATCATGTAAGCTATGTAACTACCTGGGTATAAAATGGATACTTCATGATTAAAATGACTTTTGTTTTAATGTGATGCACACATTGCTTAGAAACCTCATCTGTTAATCTTGGCCAGAGTTGTGTTGATGGTCCCAGATCCTACCCTACTTCACCTGTGTCTCATGATTATTTGTATCCTTGAAACTGTAGAGAAGCTTGATTCTAGGTAATTCTCTGGTTTGTTGAGTTTGATTTGACAATCTGATCCTTTGTGTTATCCCATTATGTGGATTTTGGATGTCACCTGTAATTCTCTGATTTATAGCCACATTGTATGTAAGATATATCCAAATGAATACATATAATGGGCTTTTTAATAGCTGCATAGTATTCCATTAGACATAGGTATCATAATTTATTTATCCAGTTTCCTATTGGAAAATATTTTGATTGTTTTCATTCTTTTTGCTATTATAAATATTGCTGTGATAAAGATCCTTATTAATAGGTCAACTTGCACAATTGGGAGAATATTTATAGAAGTAGAATTTCTGGGTCAAATGATGTGTGCATTTTCAATTTTAAGAGCTATTGCCAGGACTTCCCTGGTGGTCCAGCGGTGAAGACTCTGTGCTTCCACTGCAAGGGGCACAGGTTCGATCCCTCATAGGGGAACTAAGATCTCATATGCTGTGCAGAGTGGCCAAAAATGTTTTTAAAGAATTAGTAAATAAGAGCTATTGCCAATTTGTTCCTTATGGATATTACGAATGTATACTCCCATCAATTATTCACCAAACCAAAAAGTGAAAATTTTTATATCAAGTTTAATTTGCTTTTCTCTTGTGGGTACAATTAAGCATCAGATAATACATCTTTTTAAAAATTTAATATTTCATTTTACGTCTGGGACCTGGATGGGTAGTTTGGTCATAAGGTGAAACATAAGGTGATGCTGCGTTAAAGATGTCCTTCTTCACAGATTTTTGATGCCTGAAATTCTCTGCAAAACCCCCAGCTTCAGTTCAGTCATTAATCTCATGTTAAAACAAGCTCCATATAGAACAATGATAATTATCAGTCTTTGGGTCTTAGTGCAAAAGAAGACTCTGAGTGTGGTTAAACAAGAGGGAAGTGAGTCCTGCTTATGGCAGAAAAGGCACTGGGAAGGAAATCTCCTCCTTATACATGCTTTCAACCAACTGGCAGTAGGAAGGATACAGGGAATAATGACAAGTAGTTTTAGAAGTGGTAGAAAATCACTTCACATTAATGGAGAAAGTGGCATCACAAGTTGTTGTTTTTGTTTGTTTGTTTGCTTTTAAATTCAGATTCCGTGGAAACTGTCAAAAATTGCCAATGCTGACTATTTTTCAAGTCGTCCCGACAGGGCATTGGGAAAAGTTTTCAATTAGCAATAATCGCGCCTTGGATAAACCTCATTGGCTCTGATACTGCCACTGCACAAAGCTACAAGTTTTTAAAGAAGGCAGTGGAATGGTTGGAATATTTAAATACAAGATGATTTTTGAACAGTTACTAGGGTTGACTATAAAATGTGTTGCTGAAACAGGGAAGCCAAACTAGATATTTTATAGGGAGATATAAAGAACCTAGACTAATGATTATGTACACCAAGAGGGAACAATTTTTTATCTAAAAGTAGATGATCAACATCATCATCTTCACCATAATTTTAACATAGTTGTTTCACCATTGCCCTGCTGTTCGGAGTCAAGTTCCTTCCAAAACAACAGGGTAATTGAGAAGCAAAAACAGCACTGTTTGTAATGGTGTGTGCAGGATGAAGAGGAAACGAGAAAGGATGGTAAAGCTTCTCAGGGGTAGTAAGAACCTGGAGCAGTTGCCACCATTGGGCCTGAAAGGCCCAGGGGAAAGAGCAACTGTTAGAATGCAAAGAAAGTAGCTCAAGTTGGAGGAAAGGGACCCGGGACAGGAGCCTCGGCCTTCAGAAAAGGATGCAACGACCAGCAGGGAGAGAACAAGTGGAATAAATACTTCAAACTTATTCTCCTCATGCTCTCTCTTCTCTTGTCAGTGGCCCCCATTGGCTGAATCTAATTGGAAACCATGTTATGCTGAATAATGACCCTCCAAGATGTCCATGTTCCAATCCTTAGAACCTGTGAATATGTTACTTAAATGGCAAGAGACTTTACGGATGTGATAAAGAATATTGAGATGGGAAAATCCTGGGTGGGCCCAATGTCATTGTAAAAGTCTTTTTTAAGTGAAAGAGGGAGGCAGGAGAGTCAGAGCGAAAGATTTGAAGATGTTATGTTGCTCACTTTGAAAATGGAGGAAGGGGCCGTAAACCAGGGAATGCAGATGGCCTCTAAGAAGTTGGAAAAGACAAAGAAATATTCTCCTCCAGAACCTCCGGAAGGAATGCAGCCATGGCAACACCTTGATTTTAGCCTAGTAAAACTTGTTTCAGACTTCTGACCGCCAGAACTGTAAGATAACAAATTTGTGTTATTTTAAGCCACTAAGTTTGTGGTAATTTGTTATAACAGCAATACAAAACTAATACAGAAACAAAGAGCAAGGAAGCCTGTTGATGCAGTCCACAATATTTTAATCCCATGGACACAGAAAAAGGTAGAAATGGACAGAAAGTTGACCCATGGGGCAAATAGAAACTACACAGCACGTTCCACCCTTTTTACTCCTCATTCTGCATTCTGTTCTTGGACAAAAAGTTTGTTCCTCAACACCAGAGACACACAGAGTCCCATCGACCACCGTATTACCACAGGATGATGTCAATTCAGTCATACTTCCAACCTGAAACCAAAAACATTGGCCACTCCTAGAACCCTTTATATAAGTTGTCTGGGGGAAAAAGGAGAGAGGGAAATCATTAACATAAAATGTATTTACTAATTTCTTCACTGCTGTATTTACTTTAAAAACTAAGTTGATAATTTTATCTATTTTCTTCCACCACCCATTCTATAATCCCCTTACCTCTGCCAGCATCTTGTCTAGACAGAGTCGTTTACCTGGTGGGGTGAGCCAACCTTTAGTGATTCTATCTTTATCAAGCTGCCGCAGTTTCCCATTGACTCTTATTATTGGCCGTGGCTGTACTGAAAGGCACCGTGTGAGTCTCCTGGTTCTAGATGTAGTCTTCCTTGCTTCCACTTCCAAATTTCCCCTGGTAATCAGGACCACTCAATCTGGCCAGTAGAGAGACCAACTTCTCTACCCAGTGTTTCAGTGGCATGAGGAACTCAAAGTGGTCAGGGGAAAGTCTCAGCTTCCAATTTACAAGAATCTTGACTCTGTTCCCTGGAAGACACATTCCTCTCCTGGGTGCTAGAACCTCTAAATCCACTAAGCCCAAGAATTGTAGATAGGAAGCAAAAACCCTTCAGTAGTTATTTAGGTGTAGTAGTGAGAGGATTGCTCCTGCTTTAACCCTTTGGCTCCCAGATGTACTTACCATAGTTGTAGAAGGGATGGACCTGAACTACAATAAATAGTTGGATTCTCAAAACAGACTCACATGAATCATAGGTCTCACCAACACCAGACTTTACCAATGATTCAACTGATACATGCAGGATACAGACATAAATGTGTCACTTGTTCCTAGAGGAGCTAAATCTATCAGATACATCTTCCTAATTTTCCTTTTCTCCCACATTGGGATGCATTTTGGTCTTGGAGTAATAGATGAGCACTTAACTTTGTGTTCTCAGAGAAAACCATTTGGTAGGTAGAAAGATCCGCATGACTAACTCTCATTACTCAGCCCGTCATGTCTACCAACCCATAAATTCCACATTTATTTACAGTAAGAAATCTAGACAGTAATTTAGTATATCTTGCTAAAAAGCCATTTTTAGATAATAAATTCCTTACACTTTGGGTTGGCCAAAAACTTCATCCAGGTTTTTCTGTAACATCTTATGGAAAGACCCGAACGATCTTTTTGACCAATGTAATGCTTCCACTAGTAAATGCCATTAGTGTGTTTACAGGGCAGGATGGTTAACGTCAATCTTTTCTTACCATATCACTGATAGGGAGGAAATAAATGAATGACAGGCTTTCCTTCAGAGAAATATTTATTAGTTACTGGTTTAAGGTATATAGTGTAGGATGGTACTGACTTCACAGGGTGTTCTCTCCTGGAAGCTGCTTCTGGGTGATGGGATATGTTTTGACAGGTGAATATTATGGGCATGAACACATTGCCAAAATTATTTTGCTGTAAAGTGAATCATCTGTCTGGAGTCTGTGCGTGAATAACATATACAAAACTGGCAGAGGTGGTTTTGGCAGGACAAGTAAAACTATACCTGAAATGTATGTCTGTCCCTAAGAGGACAAGTCACTCCATCTCCATGATGGAGGGGATTCTGTGTAATCACTCTGCCACAGGGTGGGCTGATTTCCCAGGGGATGGTGCCACATTTGGGCTCATCACTGACCTCCATTGTTGTTAGAGGTGGTAGCCACCACCTCAGCCTGGCGAGGGGAGGGTAATGTTGAACTATGTATATTAGCTTGCTAGATTTGCCATAACAAAATACCACAGACTGAGTGGTTCAAACACAAGAAATTTTTTTTCTCTGGAGACTAGAAGTCCAAGGTCAAGGTGTTGGCAAATTAGGTTTCTCTCAAGGCCTCTCTGCTTGGCTTGCACATGGTTGCCTTCTTGCTGTGTCCTCATAAAACCTTTTCTCTGTGCACTTGTCCTTAGTATGTCTTTTATGTCCTAATCTCCTCTTCTTACAAGAACAGGAGTCAGATTTGATGAGGGCCCACCCAAATGGTTTCATTTTAACTTAATTACCTCTTTAAAGGCCCTGTCTCCAAATACAGTCACTTTTTGACATTATGGGGTTAGGGCTTCAACATATGAATTTTAGTGGAATTTTAGTTTAGTCCATAACACGCTGCTTTCTGGATGCCCCAAATTCATGTCTTTCTCGTATGCAAAATACATTCACCCCATCTCAATAGCACAAAAGTCTTAGCCATTTCAGCATCACCCCTAAGCCCCAGATCTCATCTGAAAATTATCTAAATCAAGTAGAGGTGAGATTAAAGGTATGATTCATCCTGAGGCAAGTTTCCTCTCCAGTTGTAGACATGTGAAACCAGAGGGGTTATTTACTTCCAAAATACAACATTGGAACAGATACATAATAGACATTCAAAAAGGGAGAAATTTGAAAGAAAAAGGGATCACAGATCCCAAGAAGTCCACAACCTAGCAGGGCAAATTTCGTTGGATTTTCAGGCTTGACAATAATCTTCCTTGGTTTGATACCCTGTCCTCTGGTCCCACCAGGGTGCTGGCCCTGCCTTCTGGGTCCACTGGGGCAGCAGCATCACCTTGGGGCTCTGGGAGATATCATTGCCCCTCTGGCCCTGGGCAGTAGCTCTGCTTCCAAGGTTCTATCTCTGAATACAGTCACACTCTGAGGTACAGAAGTGTGAGTTTGGGGGTGAGGGTCACAATTCAATCCATAGCACCATGCATACCTGCCACTATGGATACTTATACATGAGACCATTAAGTAAACACTGAGATAACTAGGGGAGAAAGGCTTACTGATATCCAGAGGTTGGGTCATCTTGGCTACCTGATTATTGAGCTCTTTCTTCAGAATGGATGCCCTCTGGTGGCACTTACATGGGACAATAATAGCTTCACACTCCATAACCATTTTGAGAAGTCAATCCCCACACCTTTCCCCCTTGTCTTCTTGTTGTCAATCGTCTAATTCTCTTTTTATCAAGTCTCTATGTAACTAGTGAACTTTTAGCCACTATCCAGGAATCAGTTTAGATACGTATCTCAGGATATTTCTCTTTCCACATGAAGTACACAAGCAAATGTATCTTCTAGTTTGCTGCCCCTGGGAGGGTTTCCCTCCACCACTCTCAGAATTATCCCCAAGAGATTCTATAGTGCAGTGATCTTCCATTTCTGGCCAGTTTCAGGCTGACATTTTTTTCCTACTCTGCTTTCTGGGCACAGAAAACTCCATGTAAAATCTTAAATGTGAGATGAAGAGAAGGCAGTAAAACAGTACATGCAGTTACCAAGACACTCTGACTCAATTACTTGTACAGTTTAACTGTGCCTCTCGAATCTCCTTCACCACAGTCTTACATATAATATTGCCATTCAATTATAAAGTGCCACCGTTCACATGTAATGTTCTAATTTGATCATCATATAACACTTAGTTCATGGTTGGCAGTTTGGGTGAACTAAATACTTGGACATTTCACAGTCAAGGGCTCAGACTCTAGCAGGTCCCAGTAGCAAGTGAGGAGCTACTTTTCAAATGGAGCATGGTTGTCAGAAAGACGGTATGGCCTTCTTCCAAAACTCTGGGAGTCTCTGATATGGCTCTTCTACTGAGGCTTCCTAGAGGCTAAATGCAGCATCTTTGTCCCCCACAGACACTTCCACCATTGGGAC